AATTTGACCAACCTGACTCTCCAGTGCCCTTAATGATGAACTATGGCTCTGAAACAAGGCTCCTTGATTTTTTATGGAGGTCGCATGATCTTGCAGCATTGTCTTTGTTGTTGCAATAAACTCTTGCATGGTGGCCTCTAAAGAACTGGTGTTTGATGAAGTTGGTCCTCCCTTGTTAGAATTATGCCATGACATATTCAATTGAAATCCCTGGGAGTAATTGAAATTCTGCTGCCGAGCTGGTTGATGAGCATTGTTGTTTCCTTGATTTTCCCACGAAAAGTTTGGATGTTGACGTCATCAAGGATTATATGTGTTGGAGTAGGAGTTGTTGTTGCCTCGATTGAAGTTGCCTACAAAGTTGTTGGATTCTTGACTGGTCGGGCTGTCACTCTCGTTATGATTGGCGTGGCATAATAAACATGTTGAATGGGCTGCCTTTACTTCTCTCACCTCACTTAGCCTTTGCAAGTCTTCAACATGTTGGTGATAGCAACAATTGGGCGGACACCGAATCTTTAGAATCTAGCTTGAAAGTTCCATGAGACTTTCGCCCAACTCTAACCCTTGTAGATGAAAATTGATAATCATTAGTGGTAATCTTATCCAGAATGTTAAATGCCTCTACTGGTGATTTTTCAAGCAGTTTCCCATTTTCCGATGCATCTAGCATCATCCTCGTGGGCACGTTGACTCCATTGTAGAACATCACCACTTGTGTCAAATCTTGAAAACCATGATTTGAACATTTACGAAGCAATGCCTTGTATCGATCCCAACACTCATACATCGACTCATCATCAGCTTGACGAAAGGAAGAAATGTCGTTCCTCAGTTGGCTGTTCATGTTCGGAGGATTATGCCGCATCAAAATATTTTTGCACAGATCACTCCACGACTCCATTGAACCCACTGGAACGCCGCTCAACTAAGCCCTTGCGCGGTCACGTAGAGAATATGGGAATATCTTTAATTTCAGAACAACTTCATGTAATCCTTGTTGGCGAAAAGAATCACATACCTCCAAGAAGTTATGAATATGCTGTCTGGCATCTTCATTTGGCAAGCCCCCAAATTACCCTATTGAGTTTAGCATATTGAACATGACAGGTTTGAGCTCGAAGTAGGATGCCTAAATCTCTGGTGCCACAATTCCAGGATTTAAATCGTCTAAAATTGGGTTTAAGTGATCACGAATGGCAAAGGCCTGGGTGCATTCCCAACAAATGGATTTGCCTCGGCATTCTGATCATCCTCATGACCAATGCATGGATTTCCAATTTGGTACATATTTGCACGTTGAGCACGTCTTCTTCTCCTAAAGAACCTCTTGATCTCAGGTTCAACCGGTTCTAATGGCTTGTCAGGGTTACTTTTGGTCATACACCACGAAATCCTGAATAAGATAAGAAAAATAAAGGGTAAAACTATATAAAAGAAATATAAACAAGTAAAATAAAAATGCTATGACAAAACAATTTAACTTCCAGTTGCCAATTCCCTGGTAACGGCGCCAAAAACTTGTCCGCTAGTTGTGAGTACTATAAATGAGTGCGGATATATGTGCAAGTATACACAATCGAACAAGTAATACAGTGATAAGTTGAGTATCGTCTCCACAGGGAATTGGCAAAATCAAATGGGTTTGTCAAGGCACTTTACTTTGTCACCTAAGTAAAGTTAGTGATGGTATGTACAAATGAAAATGTTGTGGCAAAATGGAATGATGGTAGTGTGGTCGCAATTGAATATGTCGTGGCAAGTTGGATGAAATGCCGTAGCAATTTCAATTGTGATAAGTACAAACAAATGGAAATGTCAGGACAAGATAAAATGTAAATACTAGATTTAAAATGTAGGACTTCAGTTTTCTCACACGACAAGCAGTTATGGGAATGAGTGATATGAGTCACTAGGAAAATCTAAGTCTATTTCTTTGAATGGTCTTCCTTCTATGCCTGTCTGCCTGACAGAGTCTTCTGAGGTGCCCTATGCTATCTCTAGTAAGGGACTCGACAGATTAAAGATGCCCTGACAAAATCGATTGGCGTAAACCCCTACAGTGATCCTATTGGTCTAGATAACATGATATGTCTTGGCAATACCTTTTTACGGCAGCATTAACATCTAACCTATCGTTCTTGCACAGCTCCTTTTAGTCGAATGAAATCCTAACCTTATCTCTAAGGTGGATTAGGCCTAGTTACTACCTAGAACCCCTTGTTTATGTAGTTTCTCCCTAGTTTCTCTCGAATACTAAGGATATTTTGTCAAGGCATTCTCTCGAACCCTCAAGACCTCCTAAGGAAAGGCTACTCTCGTAGCTCCTACAACCTTAAGGCATTAAGTATCATAAACAAAACAGATTGAAACATAGATAAACAACCATTCATTGAAATAAAACTTAAACATCCAAGTGAACTCCCACCAAATAGGTTTAGTTCAGGGTGGGGTTCGAAATAAACAAGCACAAAGCAAGTTTCATCCATTCCTTACAACCCAATAACAAAATATGAAAGCAAAAAACTAAGGGGAGGAGAGAAAGCCTTCGACGTGCACTGCCCAATGCTTCCCTCGGCCACCATGAACTACCCCCAGCGAACTAGCTCCTCTCGGATGCCTAGAACGCCACTCCCTCAGGCTTGTCACGGAGAAATGCTACGGCAAGTAAGATTGACTGAGAAAAGTGAGATGTTCTCTCTCTAACTTTTTAAGCTCAAATCCGGGTGGAACCAAAAAATCTTCAACAATGTGGCTTCATCCTCTATTTATAGGGGAAAACTAATCCTAGGACTTGGTGTTGACTTTCCTAGGAAACCCCAAAACCATGGTTAAGTTGCTTGGGAGTCGGGAAGGACAGGCTATAATACAGTCTAGGTAGCTGACTGAGTGACCGAAATAATCTTGTTGTAGGCGCCCAATGACAGACATGATCTGCAGGGTCAGGCGGCGTCATCAGCAGGACCGACGGTTGCAGTGCCAATCCCTCCAGGCGGATCTTCGAGGTGGATTCCTCGGGTAGAGCTCTCGGAAAGTCGGAGACAACTGGCTTTAAAAATATCTTCTCGCACTTTAAGCGCTATCGAAATGCTAGTCGAACTTGGCAATTTCATTTTGCTCAGCAATCTTCTTTTGTCACGGCATTTTCTTTCCTCTTCTCCTTGCTTTCAATTCCTGCACATTATCAAACAAGCACATTTCCCATAAGGCAGCACCGCTTTAAAAATAAAATGTTACGACAAACTGAATTCCACCACATGCAATTAAATGCTTCTAAATGCATCTACATGGTCCTAAATGAGCTATTAGACACTAAATAACTTAAGTGAAAAGGTCCCAAAATGTGACCTTTTTACGGAGTTATCAGTTACAATAGGGTTTTGTACAAATAGTGAATAAGAGTCCTAACCATAGTAAGAGTCCTAGATTAGTTAAAACATCATCTTTATCTATAAAGAGGGCTAGAATTAGTGTAAAAATAAAACTCTACTATTTACATGAAAATAATCTCCTACACGTAATATAACTCACACTTAAAACTTTGTTTCCATACATCTCTTATTGGAGATAACCTGCCCCCTTGTATTGATGTTGAAGATGACCTAATATGCACGACATCTCTTATTGGATTGCAAATCTGATCTAGTGGAGTCCGTGCAGAGCCAAGAGGGGGTAATCAGGAAGAATTTGAGACTGTTCTGAGAAGTTATTATGATTCAGTATCTCGAGGAAAGAAACATGTTCTTCGGAGAAAGAGAAGGACAAAAAGAACAGATGACAATGTGAGTGAGCCTGCAAAAGTTACTAACCATGGAGCAGCAGCTTTTCTTGCAGTTTTCCGTGAAAAGATTTACATTGCACTTTTCCTCGTCAAACCTCGACTGCTCAGGGGATTGGTTACAAATAACTTACAATTTCTTGTTGGGGAAAGTAAAATCCAATTGTCACCACTTTATATTTCTCCTTTAGGCTTGGTTTTGGTCCCTATTTGAACTAATTTATGTAAATATAATTTTTAATGTCTGATGTCTTACGGCTCATACTTGTGGAAATACATTTTCGCGGTTTGTTATTGGGTGGTTGTATCCTTTTGATCCCCTTTGAAGTTTTGGTCCTTTTCCTAAATTTCAGTAATTACCTTAATGCTTTCTGGCCGCTTGTCAACTGTGTTCTTTCCTTCTGATTATCTGATGTTTGTTTATGCCTTTAAAAGGCACAAAGTCGTATTTTGTTCTGTGATTGTTAAATAATTGTGAGTTCTTGACTATCTAAGATAGCTGTTGGCATTCCCTTTCCGAATATGTACGTATTCTCACATGTCTGTAATGTTTTCCAACAAAAATGTCATTTTCTTGATTTCTGACTCCTATAAACTTTGCAGAAATGATAAACAGATTGCATTGAAGAAGAAATATAATAACATTTACAGATCATCTAAAAACCTTCTGAGTGGAAGTGACTGGTACTCCATGGATAATTGAATGCTGAATCATATAAATAACCAGTTGGTTTTGGGGTTAAGTTTAGCCTCTTTATAATTTATTTTCTGCATTTTATGGCAAGGATGAGTTGAGCAGGGAAAAGGGGGGAAATCTTTATCTTCTGATAAATTCCAATTTCTTGTTCTACTGATTTTTTCGTGAAGCATAAAACTTGTATGTTAAATACATGAAGCAGGACTTGGTTGCCCTAGAAAAGAGCAGATGTTACTATTAGATAGCTAGTAGCTGTACTTCCGAGTATTTTAGTAGATGCTTTTGTACCAAACTTAAGCAATATGACGGTTTGATATCATTAATTAAAATATGGATCGTGACATTTTTCTGCATCGAGGTAGTTTTCTTCTTAACGTTAAGAAAATGGGTAGTGATCCTTGCCTTTTTTTTAATTTTTATTTAAATGTTTTTGTTTTTTTTTTGCGATCGGATTGGCGTTTCCATGATGAAAAGAATAGAACATATATTTCAAAGTGGCTTAGGCCATCCATTGGAATGTATGGAAGTTTTGAGAAGGCATTAGATAAGCTAAGATCCTTTTTCAGTGAAGTCAAGGTCTTTCTCAGTTCCTTTATTAGTATATGTTCCTTTCTTTTTTAAACTGTTTGATTTTCTTGTGCATGAACTTCGGTTTTTACATAAAGTCTTTTCTCTGGCTTCAACTGTTTGCGGGACTTGGTTGCCAAGAACAAGGTTTGACCTCAACTTGAATAACTTCAATGAACAATTTCCCTTCTAAGGATCAAAGCTGCAAATTTCCAGAAATATTTAAAACTTAACCCGTCTATTCATTGTGGACAGCAACTATCTTCTTTGGCAAAATATGATATTACTTCTCAAATGAAGCCTCAAAGTGATGTTGCAGCTCAGACAAAAATGCAAGTCGGTAAGGATGAGAAGACCTGCAATGAATGTATTGATCTAGAATGCAACTCTCCAAAGGATTCACGGTAAATGTCTGACGCCTATTCTGTACTTTGAAGTTGAAATGTAATGACAGCCAACTATATGCTTGCGCATGCCACTTCACCGGTGAATCACTGTATAGCAATACTGGCTGCATCATGTTTAGGAAATCTGTGTTTGATCATTTGCTTTTGGACGCTGTTCAATATTATTACTTATCTAACAGTACGTATTTTTTTTTTTTTAGAATTTTAAACATCAAACTGGTATTATTGGCTTGGGAGCATCTTTTTGCAGGAGTTTTGAGGCTTCATCTATGACCTTTTCCAGTGAAGATCGAGATGCAATCATGGTCCAGGAAACACCATTTGTGAATACTGGTATCTCTTTAGCTAGTCCAGGTTCCTTAACCAAGGATGGTAGCTGTGGTTCAACAATAATTCAGGCCTCAGCTAAGTCTCCGGATCAATTTTCTTTTCATCTACTGTCAACAAGCCTGAATGAAGTTCCTTCGTTCGTGGATCCAAGAAAATATTCACCCATGAAAATGATGCGAATCAGAACACAGCTGGGGAGATACCAAGAAACGAATCACCTTTGAATCTTGGTGTTTGTTCGTATATCCAGAAAAGGAGAAAATCCATAGCTTCAACTTTCATTAACCTTGTTGATGAAGAAGACTGTTACTCCTGCTCAAATTCCAGGTTCCATGAATTTTGAGGGACTAGCCAATGGAGATATGTTTCGCAGGATTGAATTTGGTTTTGAAACTAGCGCAGCTGAAAAAAGTCAAATGTTCCACAGCCATTGGCAATCGATAATACTAATTTCTCTTGTTCTGTTATGGATAAACGACTACAAATTTCCTGTTTACTCTGCAGAAGCCCTTTAGGCCGCCCTGAAAATCATTTGTATATCAGTTTCTCATTGACCGTTCTTCAAAAGTCTACCTGTTATCACTTTTCAAAGAGATTAATTTCTTGCGATTCAAATACGCCGCCAACTGTACCAGTTATCATAACTGACATTTCATCAGTTGATCCAAGATTCTGCAATGGAACTCTTGAACGTGACAGAGAACAGGACATTTGGCGTGAAGAAGATGGGTGTGTATTCAAAAAGGTCTTCTGCCCCTTCTGCAGCAACCCTAACAATTGTCTTGGCGTGCAAATCAAAGCAGCCGATGGAAAAAAATGTGCAGTTGCTAAACAAGGTAAGGTTATTAATACCTTAATGTCACAACTTTTTATTTTTCCGATTCTTCAGACAGTTTAATCCTTTCTTATATTTTAAAATGCTCTTCTGAAACATTTTCATCTGCAGATAATGCTTTACCATGGAAGTGTGGTAAATAGAAATTCTGAAGGAGCATTATTATTATTATTATTATTAATTTTTTACATTTTTACATGGCCCAATTGAAGCCCAAACAATTAAACCAGCATCCCAGATTACAAGCAAGCCCAGCAGCTGAACCAGACCTACCCAATTCAGATCCGGTTCAAGGCCCATCACTCAACCTGACCCTATTGGAGACCCGAATCGACCCATTACAAACCCAAAACCCATATTTCAAATTAAATTCAGCAACCCATACTTCTGACCTGTTACTAGCCCAACCCGAAGCCCAACTGCAACAGAGCAACCCAGGACCCGATCTGACCCGTCATGCCCCAATAGTTGACCCGACCTGACCCGATTCAATTAGGGTTTTTAAACCCTAATTCATCTAGCCATCGATGCCATTTGGAGGTTGAGCAGTCCACCGGCGCGCGAGATGCACACGCTTCTCCAACCGCCGCGTGAGTCGCTGCCAATTACTCCCGAGACGATGCTGTCATCCACAGTGCACCAACAACCACCAAATCAATAGAAATATCATCAATAGTGAACCAAATCAAAATCTCATTTTAAAATACCTTATAATCTCGAAAATTCGAGATTCAACCACCAAAAATCAGAAATCTAATCCCTAGCCTATATATCATCATAGCACGAGAAAAATCAACAAAAAGGGAACCATTGGAGCATTCGAAAGACGAAGAAAAATATAGAGAACAAAATAAAAAAAACATTCAAACAAACAAGAAAAACAACAACAAAAAAGAGAAAACAAGATTTTTCTTTCATCCCCTAATAGAGTCACAACCTTCTTCGGTCCGAAGCCTTGAAGATTCGAAGGTAATCATTAAGAATTTTCCTAGATATAGGACAGAGAGTTATGTTTTAGGGGATTTGCGCTTGGTTTTAGAGTAAGGGGTTGAGAGAGGGTTCATTTGGGATCGACGTTTTCCTCATTTGGCATTGACCCTTAGTGGCAGGAGGTTTTTCACGACGACGTTGAGGAGATGGGCGAGAGGGGAGAGAGCCTTTTGTTCTCTCTTTCTTTTCTAAAGAATGAAAATGGGGAGAATGTGTAGAGGGCCGATTTTTTAGCTTTGGTGTTATGTATATATGGGGTGCTCGAAACTGTGTCGTATAAGCCAGAGGGGATTCAACGTGTTTTGCATTAAGGGCTAAAAACATCATTAGTCCTCGTAGTTTTGAAATCTCACCCATGCTTTTTCAGTCTTCAGGGGTTAATTACAATTTCAATCCTTTCTCATTTGTAATATCTCATTTTAAATATTAATGAATTTTGGTGTTATTTCATTTTAAGCCTCTATTTTACAACGTTTACATTTAAGTCACTAGTATATTTATTATGCAATATTTGTTAATATTCAAATCTAGTCCTATATTTTCTGATTCTTTTTTAGTCACTATTTAATAAATACATTTTATGGTTAATTATTATTTGCACCTTTGTGCTTTTGGTTTGTTTCATTACAGTCTTTAATATTATTTATGAGTTATTTTCGTTTCTATCACCTATATTATTTAATTTATACGATACTAGCTCTGGTTTATTTGTAATAATTGTTAGTCTTTTAGGTTTTTAGTGCTATTTTGATCCTTTATTTATGTGCACATTGGTATTATTGCTTCCATCTTATTTTTTTTATATTTCATTTTGTTTTTTGAAATATGAAAATGGAAAATTTTATTGAGAGGGAAATCTACGAAGACATCTCCCAACTACAAGGGAAGGTATCTTTTTGAGGATTTTTTGCACAAATGTTTTTATTCAATAGTTTTCTTTTCTTTACGTTATTTATTTTGATTTTTTTTACCTATTTTGATTTTTATTTTGTTTCATTTTAGTTTATTTTATTTTTGTGAAAAATGTGAAATAATGTCTTTTTGTGAGGGGAATCTATGGGAAAGTCTCCTAACTACAAAGGAAGTATATTCCCGAGGATTGTTCATACAAAAGGGCATTTGTTATCCGAAAATTGACACTTTTTGAATAAAGTCAAATGAATAGAAGGATCATAATTTAAATATGTTTTCGAGTTTGTAATTCCCAATATTTAAACAACATATAATCGTTTAGATACCAAAATTTGGGCATTGTGGGGGTGCTCAACCTTCCATACAAGTAATCGACTCCTGAACTTTTAAAAATGAATTTTTCGCAAAGCACATACCATTTTTTTCTTTTAAGGTTTTCGACTTACCTAACTTAATGGTTGGCGGCGACTCCAAAATTAAATTGTTTTCAACCTAAAACTATTTTTTTAAGTCTAACAGGTTCTTGCAGGAGATGTTATGACAGCTTGGTGACTCCGCTGGGGATTTCGAGAGTCAGGCCATAAACGATTATAGGTTGTTTTTATTCTTGGGAATTACAAACTTAAATTGTATGTAATTTACGATCCTTTTATTTATTTTGAGTTTCAACATATTATGCATTATTTTATTTTTAACTAATTGATTTTTTGTTTTAGTGATTTTCATATTGAACAGATTTTGGAAATTGTGAGAGTGTTATTTTTTCGTGTTTTTAAAGGTTTGTGAGTTTCTCCACACACACAACACGTGCATTTACATATCATAAGCTCACTTATGAGCTTTGTCCCTTTTAAGTTGAGGTGAAAGCTTAGCCTATGTGAGATAAATTGTTTCTCTGCACGGGTTTTAGCAAGTGATTTTTGGGGTTCATATATCTTATGTCTACGTGAGATAAATTGTTTCTACGCATGGACACAAGGGAATGTATCCTCTCGAATTGAACTCGATCTGCATGAGCCTGTAATGGGTCAGGAATAAGGGTTTGACAGCCTAAGGAGGCACCAACATGGATAACTCGAGTACATTTTTCTTAGAACTCAATACCGCATATAGTGAACTCTAGTAACCTACCCCGATAAAATTCATGCCGAAACTTTGTCTGTTGTTAGGCATTCGGATAAATGTACATAAAGGAGAAACAATACTAGCCTATTTTCTTTAACCGCATTATTTTATTTTATTTTATTTTCTGAATAAAACATGTGACTAGAAAAGCATGTGGTTAGGTTTTATTTTCGAACTAAGCATAGGGGTAGAAAGCATGTTTTGGGTAGGATTTAACCTAATAAGGGTAGAAAATAATGTGGGTAGGTGTTGCAATTACCTTTCAATAATATCTGCATGATATTTGATTTTTTATACTAGCACATTTTCTATGTTTGATTGTTTATTATTTGGCATTTTGCATGGTCATCATAAATAAAAGAAAGGTGTTGATTACCCAAGTAATCATTAGAGTAGAAGAGTGATCATTAATATGGAAAATAGTTTTCATAACAAAGAGGAACCTAATCTGGATGTCCGAGTTTGGTCTGAAAAAAACATAAAGGGTGAAAGGACAGTTTGCCTGGGGATTATGTATCATAGATTACCAAAGATGTTAATATCAATTTCAAGTAGAATGATATACAAGAGTTGATAGAGATTTGAGAGAGTTGAAGAGTAGCTACCAAAGAGAAGCTCCACAAGAAATATGGTGACATGGCCCATCTCCTCTATGTAAAGATAGATGAACCGTTAATTAAAGCTCTAATCTGATTCTGGAATCCCGCATACAATTGCTTCACTTTCAACATATAAGAGATTAGACACCTTTGCTCTGGCTATACATGGTCTAGTGATATTCCCAAAGATCTTGTTCCACGTGGAGGTTGTGGTTGCATATTTCTTTGACTGATTGGAGAAATGTATAAGTCCTGCACCGGCTGTCTTGGCAGAAGAATTTCTGATCCTTAAATAATTGTCATAGATTGGAGGGAAGTCAATTCAGAGGTTGCGTCAACTACTCACCGTCTGGATTCAGAGTCATTTTTGGAATGAAGAGAAAGTTATTGGGATCATGACTGAAATCATGGAGCTAAATAGAAGGGTCAACCCACATTCATAGATTGATCTCTCTTGTAAACATGAAAACTCTTTTGGATGAATGGAACTATTTCTAAGAATGGTTACTTTTGGAAATTCATATCTTTTGCATTTATATTATGCACTGCATTTATTTAAACTTTTTCACATTTTTTTGCATATGCATTTGCATATTCACATTCTGCATGGCATTCATTGAAGCATTTTTTACATGTATTAATCATGGAATCATGGGTTTATCTCATGGAGGACTATGAGGAAGTGCTTCTAACTGTGCAAATTCGTTCACACAATACTGAGAATGGAAGCAAAATTTGAGAATATGAAGAAAGAGTTGGAAGGGAGTTTGCAAAAGATGCAAACAGAGTGGGAAGTTAAAATAGAGCAGATGCAAAAGGCCACCATGGATCACATCTTGCAAAACCAAAACAACCTGGTTGATCAAATCATAGCACAACTGACTGGACTCAACCAAGAAAGAGGCAAAGAAAAGATTTCCTCGACTAGATAAACCTCTGAGTGTGTGGTAGAACATGCTAATACACCGATACTCATTTCGCCTGACAAGCTTCCAAGCTACCCAATAGGCTTCACTGCCACTAAAAATCATGCAACTGTGTTATATCATCGGGATAATTTTACTAATCACATCATGTCAAATTCTAATGAAATGAAAAGAGCTAAGAATGAGATATTGGAAAATTTGAAACAGTGGTGTAGAGAGATATTCCAGGGAATGAGAGGACAGAGCTCTCACAATGAAATGGATGCAATATAACTAGTCTTAGTTCCTAATTTGGTGGTTCCTCCCAAATTCAAGATGCATGACTTTGAGAAGTATAGTGGAACCAGTTTCCCTAATGCCCATCTCTCGAAGGATGACTGAATACACCAACAATGATCAGATATGATCTACTACTTCCATGCAGTTTAATTGGACCCGCTTCAAGGTGGTATAATCAACTGATTGTACTCAAGTTCACTCATGGAAGGATTTGGCTATTGAATTTTTGGGCCAATACAATCACATGACTGATATGACCCCTGATCGAATAACGCTGTAAAATATGGAGGTGAAGAGTGGTGAGAGCTTCCGGTAATATCCTC